GTCACTGTGGAGATCGCGGGTTTGAATCCCGTAAGGCCCGCCATATAAATTTTGGGGCTTTGTAGCTCAGTCGGTAGAGCAACGGTCTGAAGCACCGTGTGTCGGCAGTTCGATTCTGCCCGAAGCCACCAAAAAGAAATATTCGTTAGTATGTTTTATGTTTGAATGAGAAATTTACCTAGATACTAAAATTCCGAGAATAATTTAAATGGCTGTTAGAGTAGCTATATTATTTAAGTGTTCAGAGTGTAAGTCTCAAAATTATTTAAGTCAAAAAAAAATAGATAAAACAGTTATAAATAAAAAATTAGAGCTGAATAAATTTTGCAGAAAATGCAAGAAACACCAAAGACATGTAGAACACAAAGTGGGTTAAAATAAACTAAATGATCCGAATTTTTTTAGATTCTGCGATTTTTATTAAAGTGTTTTCAGCATCTTTTGTTGCCTTAGCGGCAATGACGACAGGAGCTTTTTATTATGTAGGATCAAAAGTATCGAGGCAATATGAAGAAGCAATGACTGAATTAGATAAAAAAAAGGAAATATTGAATTTTAAGCAACAACAATTAGAAAAATTAAGAACAATGACTATTCCATAATTAACTAAGAGCTGATATTTCACTGGAAGTATTTATTTATTTAACTTCTTTTGTTCTTTTAGTTTTAGGACTTTTACTTTCTTCCTCCGGTTCTACCGGAGGATTTTCAGTTTTATCGGGATATGATATTGAACTCTTTAAGAAAACTAAGGATTATGGTATTATTAAGATTCTTAAGTTGTGCATGTTTTTGGGAACTTTAATTCTTTTTTCACTTTGTATAGCTTTATTGAAGAGAAATCAATACTAAGTTCAATAAACATGAGAGTATTTTCAACCCAAAAACCCAAACAAACTGCAAACGTGTAAGAGTTAATAGGTTTAGCGGTTCGGGGTTCATTCCCCGAATCAAGATAAATATAAAACCAGATAAATTGAAAGGGGCGCTTAATAACGACTTAGTCTCTTTCAAAGTATTAGGTAATAGTGTAACAGAATTTGGTCAGAGACAAGAGGGAGAAGTATTACGAATTGTCGAGAGATTCAAAAATAGATTTGTAGCTGAGGTAATCAGTTCCACTCGAAGTCGACTGCAATTGTTTTTTGATGATCCTCAGTTGTCAGGTTTAAGAGAAGTGTGAGGTTATTTTCCTTCTTTTAGAAGGGGAGATAAAGTTTTGATTCAATTATCTAAGTTTCCTCCCGAAAGAATGGAGGGAGAGGTAATTAGAGTTTTAGGAAATATTAATTCCGGGAGAGTTGATTTTTTTTCTATAATTTCTGACTTAAAATTGCCTGGGAAATTTAAAGATGAAAACTGCTGGAGAGAGATTGAAAAACTGACTAAATTTCGAGAAAGAGTCTTAGAGAAAAATTTAGAACTTTATAAGAACTTGAAAGATAAGCCTTTTTTCACTATTGATGGTGTTAATGCTAAGGATTTTGATGATTCAATCTGTTGCGAAAGTAAGGATAAAGATTTTTTAGTTTATATAGCCATTGCTGATGTTTGAGGATTTTTAAACTGTTGCCCCAATTTATTTTTGGAAGCAAAGAAAAGAGGAACTTCTATATACCTAATAGATAAAGTAATTCCAATGTTACCCCCTATTCTTTCAGAGGAACTTTGTTCATTAGTTGAAGGCAAAAAAAGACATACTTTATGTGTTGTTGTTGAAATTAGTCAAGCGGGAGAGATTAGAGAGTCAACTTTTCAAGTTTTTCCCGCAACAATTATTTCTAAAAAAAGGTTTAATTATCAAGAAGCAAACGAATTGCTATCTAACTATGAGAAGGAGGAGAATCAAAGCATAGACTACTCAGAAATAGAAAGGACAGTGATACTATCGAATAAAATCGCTAAATTGTTGCAAGAAAAGAAGAGAGATAACAATAAACAACCTCTGAAAATTTTTCAAGATAAATTTGAGTTGGAATTGAATCGTCAAGAAGAAGTTATAAAAATTACTAAGGATTGTTTGAGTAATACACAGTCTCAACTTTTAGTTGAAACATTTATGATTATGGCTAATAATTTAGTAGCTAATTTTTTGGAAAGGGAGGAAATTCCAACCATTTATAGAACTCATAGATCACCAGAGTTGGAAAGGTTGCATATTTTTTCAGACGAAGTTAAAGAATTAGGTTGTAACTGTGTGATGCAATCAACTGATTTAATTAGTGTAAATTTCTTGAATAGTATATTGGAGGATCTGCGAAATAATAAAAATTTCAAGATCATTCAATATAACTTATTGCAAGCCATGCCTAAAGCTGAATATAGAACGGAGAATATTGGTCATTTCGGAATTAATTTATCTAATTATGTGCATTTTACTTCCCCTATTAGACGATTACCAGATTTATTAATTCACAGATCCATTTGAATGTTCTATTTTCTAAAAGATAAATATTCGAAAGTCGAGAAGGAGGCTTATTTGTCAGAATTAAGAGAATTAGCTTATATTTCTAACTTAACTGAACAACGCAGTGTTATTGCTGAAAAACGATATTCTTCTAGAAAAATTTATAAGTATTTATTATCGAAACAGGAAAATGATGAATTTGAAGGAATAGTAACATCTAGAAGCCCTTGAGGTTATACAGTATTAATAAATCAGATATATGATGGATTTGTTAAGACCAGTGAAAGACGATTGTTAGGTCAGAAAGTTAAGTTAAGGAAAGTTGAGTTTTCGTGAGATGAATTTATAGAATGCTAGATTGTCAGAAATTCATATTCAGAGCAATAAGAGGAAACTTTACAAATATGTTTTATATCACAGCTATTTAGCTGGACTTTCTCTCCCGCCTTTAGCGGCGGGAAAAATATTAAAAAAATCCTTAAGCCTTATTAATAGTTATGTAAAGAATATTGGAAATGAATTATTTTTATTGAATTTTTGGGATCATCAAGTTAAGTTATTATTGACTAGACGAGAAATTAATTCTATTATTGAAATTTCTAACAAAGAAAAATATGTAATACTTCCTGGGAGTATTTTTTTAAAAAATAGGAGATTGAAAATAGAAATACATTTATGTAAATATAATAGAAATGCCGAAAAAGAAAAACAGAAATATAACAGAAATAAAGAAAAGAGAAGTTTTTTTGGAGAAGAGTACTAAAGTGGTTTATTTTGACAATGCGGCCACATCCTTAAAATCTGAAATTTTTATAGACAGATTATGTAAAAGTTATAGCTCTGAACAGTGAATTACGAATAAAAAGGAATTACTTTCGGACACAATTAAAGTACTTTCTGATTTTTTGAAAATAGAAGAATCTAATATCTGGTTAGTTCCATCATCTACTTATGCAATAAATGAAATTTGAGATTATATTTTGCGGCATAAAATACAAAATCCGTGTAATATTTATATTCAAGAAAATGATCACATTTCGAACGTTCTTAGTATTGAAAACTTAAAAAATCAAATAAATAATCAAAAAGTGAATTTAAATTATTTTTCTATTCGAAATGCAGATTCATTAGAGTTACAGCCTAACGATATAGTATTGTTAACTATGATTGACAATTTAGGGTCACAAAATTTTTCTAAAAATAAGTTGGAAAAAATGATAACAAAATGACGTAATGTAACAACAATTGGAGATTTAACTCAGTATATTCCTTATTGAAATGGAGAAAAATATTTCTTTAATTTATTTGATTTTGCATATTTTTCTTCCCATAAACATTTTGGTCCGTTCGGATTAGGAGTAATTATTTCTAAAGATCAAGAGTTTCTCTCAAAAATTAAGTTCAGAAACGATTTCGATTTAGATTTACGATCTATTTATCTCTATAAAGAAGAATTAAAAGTATTAAAGGGAGATGCTACTAAAAAACTTAAAGAAAATAAATTAAGAAAATATTGAATTGAAAATTTTCCAAATTCCCCTCATCTAAGTTATCAATTTTTGTCAGAGAAGTCTCTAATTTTTTTAGTTAAGTTCAAATCAGAGTATTTTCATGATTTGTTATTTTTTTTAGAGAGTAGAAGAATTATTTTTAGGGCAGGCAATTTTTGTAGTAGAAACTCACAAATTGGAAATTATGTAATTAGATTTTCTTTATCCTTTTTTAATACTGAGAAAGAGATAGATTGGCTTTTTGAATCTTTGCAAGATTTTCTTAAGTTAAAATTGATTTAGAAATATGGAATTTTATAGTGTAGCTATTAATGGATTTGGTCGAATAGGCCGTCTATTATTTAGAAATTTGTTATCTTCTCCTAGTGTAAATGTTGTAGCTGTAAATGACATTGTTGATCCTTCTGTTTTAGCTCACTTATTGAAATATGACAGCTCTCAAGGGGTTTTGAGTGATTGAGATGTTAAAAGTGATTCTGAACATATTTATCTGACAAATTTAAGTACAGGAAAAGAAAAGACTGTAAGAGTATTTAACTTTTTAAAAGAAAAGAGTTATCATTGAGGAGAATTGGAAATAGACTGTGTAGTTGAGTGTTCAGGGAGATTTTTGACTAGAGAAGCTGTTCAATGTCACTTAGATGCAGGTGCAGAAAAAGTGCTGATTTCAGCACCAGCAAAAGATGATACTATAAAAACTATAGTTTTCAATGTTAATCATAGTTCAATTAGTACATCTGACAATGTCATTTCTGGAGCATCCTGTACAACTAATGCATTAGCTCCGATAGTTAAGGTTCTTCATCGAAAATTTGGAATTCAGTCAGGATTTATGACTACTATTCATGCTTTCACATCAGATCAAAGACTTCAAGATGCTCCTCACTCAGATCTAAGAAGAACTAGAGCTGCCGCGAATTCCATTATCCCCACAACTACTGGTGCTGCTGCCGCAATAGGTAAAGTAATTCCAGACTTAAAAGGGAAGCTTGACGGGATTGCCCATAGAGTTCCTGTGTTAACGGGATCATTAGTAGATTTAGTAGTGAGGTTAAATAAGAGTGTTACGGCCGAAGAAGTAAATTCAACTCTTGAATCTGCTCAGAATGAGACTATGCTTTATATGAAAGATCCCATTGTATCCACAGACATCATAGGTAGTACTTATGGGTCTATTTTTGATTCTTTATTAACTAAGGTGTTACCGACT